GACGCGTGGAATCACCGCGCGTCGAATTACCACGTATCGAATTACCACGCGTCGAATTACCACATATCGAACTACCACGCGTAGAATTACCGCGCCTCGAATTACAATGCGCCGAATTACCACGTATCGAATTACCACGCGTGGAATCACCACGCATCGAATTGCAATGCGCCGAATTACCACGTATCGAATTACGAAGCGTGGTATACACTCTTCTAAATTATATTAGAGTTTGTATTTTGAAGTTTCTCCAGTAATAATAGTAATTTATTAATCATAACATACATCTGAGCTAGCAATGAAATTCTTTCGAGCACTTTAAAGGCGACCGTGTTCAAAGTGGGTTCTAAGCCGTGACAAAAACACTTTTACCAAATTAAAGTACCGTAGTAAAAGAGAAATTAATGTTAAAAGACTAATTGGCCACTCTTACGCAAGAAACTCGGAGCAACCATGTTGAGAAAGCATAACGCACTTAGAACTCTCAGAGCAGGAGCGACCATCTTGGTGAACGCGTGGACTAACGAGTCTGTATCTTTCGACATTATTCAATATCTCACGAGTTAATGCTCGAAAGTGCTTCGAAAGTGTTCGACTAAATCAAGTGTTTCCTCGGGATATGGACTGGTGGAAATGAACAGGTGTCTGAAATTTATGTATGTTGACGTAATACTGTAAGACAAGTTCAAATGCTATAGAGATTAGTGTGCAAATGAAGAAAAAGTGAAAACAGTATAATGAAATTTTAACGCCATTTTAATATCGGTGATTAAAATATCGTAAAGGCTAATAACAGTTTAAAAAGTAATGAGACAATACAAGGACACCTGACGAACACGAATGAACAGATGCAGCAGCAAAAAAGATAACGAATCGAGATACGATCTGAGAGGAATCATTAAAACACCTAACTAGAGTAAAGACTTCCTAAACATGACGATGACAAGTGACGACCACCTAGCTTGTACTCTCAACGGGACTTTTTCCTCTTTGTAACAGCATCCAGCAATGGGAGTCCCCTTTATGGTTTAGCTCCTTCAACTAGTCTTCCGTTTTGGAAAACTATCACTCACGTCACCTTAAAGTCCCGTTCCTTCGATCAATCAATTCTAACAGTCCCTTCGTGCAATTATACAAGAACTAGGATCCTAGATCTATCCAGCACAGTCTACTTTCTTCATTTTTTGTTCAGTACCACCCTATAAATGTTTAACTCATTGCCAGATAAATTTAATAGTTGCAAATACTGAAGTATAAAATCATTAGAGTTATCCCAAAGTTGGTAGAAACTTATGAAAAAGTGAAGAGATTTGGACTGAAACTGTCTACCTTTTCAGCAATCTTTGTTAAGTAGTGAGAGGAGCGAAGAAAGTAATGAACAAAAGTTTAACTAAGATAATTTCTTTGTAGGTTTGAAATGCTGAAGACTGCGGATGGTTCCATAAGTGGTTCACTTAAGGTGATCGAGTCTCTGAAGAACAAGAAGAAGAGCAAGAAGAGCAAGGGTCAACAGGATGGAGCAGAATGGACTTGGAAGGAGCAGGTGGATCTCGTGAAATACTCTGCTATGCCGATAGAACAAAGTCTGTTGAGGCTGGATGCAGATTTGAGTGCCTTAGCTGTGGAGTGCTTTTTGTGTCTGATGAGATACATGGGTGATCAACCATTGCCTCCAGACACCAGTGAAGTCAAATGCGTTTACACTATTCTGATGGTAAGTAATTAACTAGCAGTAGATGAGGTTTTAATATTTCATGTGAGAATGTCATGCCATCTAATTGGTATTAGAAAGTTTTATTCAATGTCTCATACAAAAATGCAGTGAAATGTATTAATAATTCCAATATGGGACAGTGATTTCATGTCCCACTTTCAGTGCAAAAAGTTTTAATTTACTCTCAGCTAGTTATGAAGATTTCCCCTTGATGATCTAGTTGAATCTGAAGTATATAATAAATTGAATGATAAATGAGAGAATTATAAATTTAATGTGATTACTTTTCTGTGGAAGCAATTTTATGACTTTCTATGAATGAATCAATCAACATTAATTTCAATTTTATTACAGCACTGTCACAAGTATGAGCTCCTTAGAGATGAAGTATACTGTCAACTAATGAAACAAACTACCAACAACAAGAGTCCAAACCCTGACAGTTGTCAGCGAGGATGGAGAATCTTCAGTATCGTTGCTGCCTATTTCACCTGCAGTGATGGCCTCAGACCTTATCTCACTAAATATCTTGAAACTGCTGCTTATGATAAGAGAAGAGCATATCATGGAACTGCTACAGTATGTCTACAGAATCTCAGGAAAACAGTTAAATATGGAGGAAGGAAGAATGTGCCCAGCGTAGATGAGATTATGGCAATCAGTGCTGGCAGGAATGCAAAGAGACAGATTTATAGACTTCCAGGTGGAACAGAGAGGGTTATCAACACAAAGTGTACTACTGTTGTGCAGGTAAATCTCTAATTATACTACAGTAACTTAAAGCTATAAAATTACTAAATTACTAAATTACTTTTAAGAAAGTACCCTTAAGCAAAAAGTAAAATATGTTGTAAAATTCCCTTTTGTAAACTAAACACTGTTATCTACTATTTAATTTTAACAGGATGTTATCGAAGAGATGTGCAACATAATATCTGTCAGGAATCCCCATGAAATGGATGAATTCTCATTATATTGTATCGTTGACGGTGATGCATTCACCATGCCATTAGCAAGAGATGAATACGTTTTAGATGTAACTACTGAACTTCATAAGAATCATCAAGTTTTCTACTTAATATTCTGCAGGTATAAAAATGATACTGTCACTAACCTAGCAATAAATCAAACTACTTTCAGCCATGATTTCTTTTACTTTAATAAAATATCACTTTAATAGAATTAATATCATGTTGTTATATAGACCTTAAACATTCAAAACTATTCATTCAGCTGAAATAATATATTCAAAGGATAACACAATTTTTTTTCTGTACAGATCGGTCTGGTACTACCCTCTCAGACTGGATGCACCACTGTACATAGAAGTTGTGTTCAATCAAATAGCTCCAGACTATCTAGAAGGCCTCTTACTTGTCTTGCCCGGAGAACATTTACCTCAAGAAGTTATAGTAAGTCTCTTGAATCATTCTAATCAAACTTCTATTCTACTTAATTAATCCTCCATTCTTTGCAGTACGACATGGCACAAATAGCAGCTCTCTTGCACAGGGCAGCAGACATGACCCATGAACCTACTACCAAGGAAATTAAATATTTATTGCCCAAACCAGTACTCAGTTTGAGAGACCCACGACCCCAGCAGTGGGCAAATATGGTTCAACAAGCATGGAACAACGTTCAACATAATACAGTAGCTGCTTGTAAAGCTCAAGTTCTTGGTAAGTGTTCCTTTACCTCTTTTCAATTTTCTTGCACAATTTCTGTAATATTGACATTTCAGAAATTTTGTGGAAGTGGCCATTATTCGGATCAAGTTTCTTCGCTGTGAAGAGGGTGCCTGAAGGGAAGGAGAAGGGTGGTGACCATATTTTAGCGTTGAACAGACACGGAGTACACTTCATTGATTTAATTACACATGTAAGTAAATTTCAGAGATAAGTCAAATAAGTTGTTCAGTTTGTAAAATTAAATTGGAAGTAAGACAGCGGTGGAAATATAAAGTAATTTTCAATTGTTGATAAATTGCAGGAGACACTGTATCATTATCCCTACTCGGAGGTGATCTCCACCAGGAAAGTGAAATCCGAGGAAGGAACCCTTTACCTGGATATGAAATGTGGCAATCTGATGCAGCAACGTATCACAAGGCTCCAAACAGAACAAGCACACGAAATTTCTCGACTGATCAGACAATACATCACCATGGAACAAAGGACAACCAACGCTCAAGGCTCTGGAATCGGATTCGGCATGAGATAAAATTTTCTATCTGTCAGTTCGATTAATGGCCGTCAATAATCGATGGAGCCACAGAGCACTGTAAATAGAGATCTGATGGTCGAGTTTGGACAAAGGAAGTTTTAGCTAAAAACTTTGGTCATGTACATAGAAGTTTATTCAGAATCAAGGAAACAGCAACGATTTTATTTTTGTTAATTCTGAATACCGGAGACTGTTTCGAAGAGGGACTTCATGGGACAACGTGTGAACCTTCCTTGAAATAGTTTCTTGAAATATTTAAAAATTTACAATAGAAATTTTCTAAAGGAATTCTAATTTATTTATTAATCTGTGGAATTAATTGAAAGTCTTGTAAGACTTGGCAAGATATTTCAAGACATCTGCCAGAATTTCTTGCAAGTGTAGATGCATTTGAGAAGTAAATCTCGAAGTCTCGGTAAATATAAATTTTCTTCTAAATGTGTACGGAAAATGTAAACGAAGAGGATGAAGAATGCTCAAGTATCTAAGCAATTATTCTCGACTCTGTAAATACGCGTTTAGAAACGTTTAGAGAAAGAGCGGACGTGTGAACGAGATATTTTCGAGGAAAGATGCTGAGTCCAATTTCTTTTCTCGACAAGAAATCGAAGTTGATTAAAGTGCAAGAAAAGGAAATGACCAGCGATTCGATTTGTAAATCCAATTAATGATTAATCTTACGTTCCGATGGACACTAACAAGCTGCGGTTATATTGTTTATCACCAGACATTATTATTAATAATTGTATGTATGCGTATCGATGTGAACGGAGGTGTTGATACTTTATATTAAAAAGTTTCTACATATACAACAACTTGTTTGCTTCCTTTTGCTTCTTCACTGAAAGGTAAGTATAATTTACAATTAGTAGTTCAATTTCAATTTTTCTAATTTTAGTTCAGTTTTCACAGATTAACCTCGTTTACAGGAAACTGAAGAAATGACATTACATTGTAATAAGAAATTTGTCAAGTTTTATTTTAGCTTGTAAAGTACATAAGTGTTCATAATTTAATTTTTATTTGCAAAATATTAAAATATTTCTTGGAACACTTGAGGGCAGTTAAAATAAATACTTAATACATGAATAATAAATATTTCTAAAAATATTTTCTATAAATCTTGATACTCACAAATTAAAAATTAAAAATTTAAGTACAACCTTTTGTTAAACTAATCTCAGAACAAAAAATGCATCAAAATATGCAGTAAATATCAATATTCATATTAACATAAAGTAATTCAACTCAGTATTGTAGCACCTCTAAAATTTCACATGGAATATAATTTTCTTCAATTCTTATTCTTAATTCTTCAACTAATTTCTAGATCGATTAGGACTGGAAGGTGATTTCGACTTCGCTTCATGAGGCCAGTTGCTAGCTGTATGTCGAACGTATCCAGGGTCAGTTGGGGTCGAAGGTGTTTTCACGTTAGCCGTCTGTGTTCCAGTACTCGCGGTTCTGAGAGAACTGAAACATTCTTCCAGCATCTCAATTTCGTCTTTGCTTTTTTCTATTTCCTTTTCGTAGCCCTTTGGGGGAGGCGGTACATTGAACGACACGTCTCGATTCTTTCTCTGACTCTTTGGGGACGATCTTTTCATTCGGATGGGTACGTTGTCGTATTGACTGGTGTCAGAGTATCTGAAGACAAAATAGTGGATGTGATGAAAATGTGAAGATTTCGGGATTTGGGAGGATGGGAAGGTTGGAGAGTTGGAGAGTTGGAGGGATAGGAAGGTTGCAGGTTGGAGAGATGGAGATTTGGAGCGATGGGAAGGTTGGAGGTTAGGTATTTGGGAATTTGGGAGGTTGAGAGGCTAGAAATTTGGAGATTTGGGTGATTGGAAACTTGAAAATTTGGGAATTTGAGTGATTGGGAACTTGAGGGTTTGGGGATCTGAAGATTTGGGGATTTGGGTGATTGGAAACTTGAGGATTTGGGGATTTAGGTGATTGGAAATTTGAGGATTTGGGGATTTGGGTGATTGGAAGCTTGAGGATTTGGGGATTTGGGTGATTGGAAATTTGAGGATTTGGGCATCTGAAGATTTGGGAATCTGAATGATTGGAACCTTGAGGATTTGGGGATTTGGGTGATTGGAATCTTGAGGATTTGGGCATCTGAAGATTTGGGAATCTGAATGATTGGAACCTTGAGGATTTGGGGATTTGGGTGATTGGAATCTTGAGGATCTGGGGATTTGGGTGATTGGAAACTTGAGGACTTGGGGATTTGGGTGATTGGAAACTTGAGGATTTGGGGATCTGAAGATTTGGGGATTTGGGTGATTGGAAACTTGATGATTTGGAGATTTGGGTGACTGGAAACTTGAGGATTGGGGATTTAGGTAATTGGAAACTTGAGGATTTGGGGATTTGGGTGATTGGAAATTTGAGGATTTGGAAATCTGAAGATTTGGGGATTTGGATGATTGGAACCTTGAGGATTTGGGGATTTGGGTGATTGGAATCTTGAGGGTCTGGAGGTTTGACTGATTGAAGACTTGAGGATATAAAGATTTGGGTGATTGCTAGAATTGTGTACCAGGAAAATTTAGAATCTGGATGCTTATAAAATTACGGTCTTAAAGATTTGAAGCCTTGGAGATTAGAAGGCAATCTCCAATTAGTAATTGGAGAACATAGAAGCTAGAGATTAGAAGACTTTCTGATTTGAAAATTCATAACATTTGAGAATTTGCTGATTTGCAGATATGAAGAGTTAAAGATTTGAAAACTTATACATTTATGAATATATAAACTTGTATATTTGTACAATTTCCAGCTTCAGACATTTGAGAACTTAAGAAAAATGATGATCTACAAATATATAGATTTGTGGATTTACACATCTGTACATTCATACATGTACAAATAAACATACATATTTATATTAATATATTTATGCATCCAAAAATTTTGAAGTTCACGATTCACTCCTTCATTTGAACATTAATAAACTTGAAAAGATATAAAATTCATAAAAAGTTTGAAAATAAATAGGACCTCACCTGTACCCATCAAAGGCTTCATCAACATCGTGCTCCACTTTCATAATCTTCACACCAGGATTAATAATCTTCGCAAACATCGTCTCCCCTCTGTTACTAGACTCAATAGGGAATCTTGGTGTATCCACTTCATCGACAGGCCTCTGATAAATATCATGACTTTTATACACCACCGTAGGCATCTCCATTCGGTGCATCATTTTATAAGATTCTCTGTTCGCGCTCTTCTGCGTCTCAGAGTCTCGATACCTCTGCGAATCTCTGAGAGCTATTCCGTTTTCAAAGTTCTGAGTATACTCTTTCGGTTCTCTTTTCTCTTCTTCGCTTCTGTACGTCCGTTGATCTTGCTCCCATTTTTGAAGATTTTCAGACTGAGGAGCTGAGGTCTTTTGACGTTGCTCCTCCATTTTGTCGAAACCCACGTTGATGTTGCCGTTGTCGTCTTTCTTGGAGATCTTTGGACTCTCTGCTTTTGGTTTTGTTTCCTTCTCAGTCGTTATCGTTATTTCGTGTCTTGCTATGGGAGAAAGGAAGTTTAGGATTATTATTAGTAATTATTAGTTAATATTTATATTTATCATTAGTTATTTATGTTATCTTCTAGAATTTTGATTTAAGCATTCGTAAATTTTAGCGTAGACTGAAAACCTTTAAGAGAAGTTACAAAAGAAGAATACCAACAAAATAAAATCATTCTTCATAAAATTTAATTCATTCTTGCAAAATCAAGCTTTGTATAATTTCACAAATAATCTGCAGATGTTTTTTTACTTTTCTGTAGTATTTCAATTTTCAATAATTTTGTAGAACATCTGTTATTAAAATTTTGTAGAACTACTTCGGTTTGAAATAATTAAGTTACCTCTCTTGTCAGTTAAATGTTCCTTCATGTCTTCTTTATTTTTCTTCTTGGGAGTGGTCATTAATAAATCAGCGATGAAAACCAACGCCGTTAATAAACACAGTGCCCCAAAAACAGCGGCGTTGTCTACTAAATCTTCAGGGACGTTCTCGATGGACGCCATTGAGAGAGCACCAACGATGCCGAAGAGGATTATACCCAGTCCGAGAAAAAATAGCTCCTGCAAAATTAGGAAGAGATTTTTATGAATTTGTTGATGTTGATTGGGTTTTTGAAAATTTAGGATTTGGAGATTTGGGGATTAGGGTCTTAAGGACTTGAGAATTTGGGGTTATGATAATTTTATGATAGGAGAATTTGGGGATTTGAAGATTTGGAGACTTGGGAATTAGGGATTTGAGGATTTGGGAATTTGGGGATTTGGAGACTTGGGAATTAAGAATTTGAGGATTTAGAAATTTAAAGATTTGAGAATTTGGAGATCCAGAGATTTTCAGTACTTGAGAATTTGGTACTTCTTAAATTTCAAAATTTCTGAATTTTGTTAGTTAGATTTTTCCACGTTCACTCTCTTTTCTATCACAAAACGGAATCTTCCAGAGCGAACGAATTTGCATGCATCGTAATCAGCCAATCCCCAGATATGACTCATTAAATAAATCACAACATGCACGTTACGTATCCACATCTCCAAGGATATTTTTCTTAAGTTATTTGCATTAAGAACCTTCATAACCTTGCTCGTCGACAACAGGTTATTCTCACGGTATCGTTAAAACGTGTGCTCTATATTTAACCGATTTCTCCTATCAAGCTGCATAAATCGAACAGAAAAAGAAATAGTGTCCTTGAAACAAGAATTTCTTATTGAGTTTATTATGTCAGCGAACAGAGGTGTGTCTTTAGAAAAGTTGCAGGTACCAGGAAGAATATTAGAAATGTTTAATGATACTCGAGATTAATATCGTGAGAGAGTGAGGTGTTATACCTTGTTGCTGCTTAATTGCTGTAGGAATGATGCGCTTCCTGACGTTATCATTAAAAATTTATTAATTTAGTTATTATCTGATGAGGAAATAAGTGCCTTGAGAAGTTTTGGTTTTAGCTTGAGATTGTAGGTGGAATTAATTAGAGGAAATTATTCACTTTCGTTTCGTTTCGATTTTCTTGTGGTTTCACTGCTGTTACTTTACCACTTTTATTTATTTTTTTGATTGTTGACGTAGGTGGGATTTTTGAAAATAAATGGATTTGGGGATTTTTGAGATTTTGGAGATTTGGGAATTTGGAAGGGTGGAATTTTAGGAATTTAGGGATTTAGAAGATTGGGGATTTGGAGATTCGGGAATTTGGAAGGGTGGAATTTTAGGAATTTGGGGATTTGGAAGATTGGAATTTTAGTAATTTGGGGATTTGGAAGATTGGGAATTTGGAAGGGTGGAATTTTAGGAATTTGGGGATTTGGAAGGGTGGAATTTTAGTAATTTGGGGATTTGGAAGATTGGGAATTTGGAAGGGTGGAATTTTAGGAATTTGGGGATTTGGAAGGGTGGAATTTTAGTAATTTGGGGATTTGGAAGATTGGGAATTTGGAAGGGTGGAATTTTAGGAATTTGGGGATTTGGAAGGGTGGAATTTTAGTAATTTGGGGATTTGGAAGATTGGGAATTTGGAAGGGTGGAATTTTAGGAATTTGGGGATTTGGAAGGGTGGAATTTTAGTAATTTGGGGATTTGGAACAAGGGTGGAATTTTAGGGTGATAAATGTAGACGTATTGATTAGGATATTGCGTGGTAAAAGTGATTAAAAATTATAGGAAATTCGATAAAGTATATGGACTTTCAATATTGTTCAAAAGAAACAAATTTTTTAATTTATAAATATAGAGGTTTTCAAATTACTGGATTTTAAGTTTAGAAATTTGGAGATTTGGGAGTTTAGAAGTTTAGCAGTTTGGGGATTTGGTAATTTCAGACGGTGGAATTTTAGGAATTTGGGGATTTGGAAGTTTGGGAATTTGGAAGGGTGGAATTTTAGGAATTTGGGGATTTGGAAGGGTGGAATTTTAGTAATTTGGGGATTTGGAAGATTGGGAATTTGGAAGGGTGGAATTTTAGGAATTTAGGGATTTAGAAGATTGGGGATTTGGAGATTCGGGAATTTGGAAGGGTGGAATTTTAGGAATTTGGGGATTTGGAAGATTGGGAATTTGGAAGGGTGGAATTTTAGGAATTTGGGGATTTGGAAGATTGGGGATTTGGAGATTCGGGAATTTGGAAGGGTGGAATTTTAGGAATTTGGGGATTTGGAAGGGTGGAATTTTAGGAATTTGGGGATTTAGAAGATTGGGGATTTGGAGATTTGGGAATTTGGAAAATTGGGATATTAGAAATTTGGGGATTTGGAGGGGTGGAATTTTAGGAATTCAGGAATTGATGAATTTAGAAATTTAGAAATTTGGAAATTTGGAATTTTAGGAATTTAGTAATTAATGGTATCAAAATTTTGAAAGTTTAAGAATTTAGGGTTACAATGTACAAAGGCAAGGTTATATACTTGAAAGCGTCATTAAGCAGCATACAAACGCATTACACGATAAAATCATTGTCGCTGAAGGACACAGTAGCGCAAAGAAGAAATACCTTGAAGAACCCAAACAATACGACTATTAGGGAATCTGCTTGCGTAATTGTTAGTGAGGAAGAAATGAAGAGTTCGTAGAATGCACGTTCGATATATCGTTATGAGTCAGTCATTATAATACACAGAGAAGCAAATACAATTACGACAGGAAATAGTTACCGTTTTTCGGCCAGTGAGTTCTCCTGCAGCGGCGGCTATGAGGAGACCCGTTGTGATTATTATGTAACCACCGCAGGTCGCTGTGGCGAGGGCGGCGCCTGTATTTTGTGCCACAAAGAAGAATATTAGAAATTTTTATGTTGGAGAATCTTTTGAATTTGGGGAGAAGTTTTGGAATTTGGAAATTTGGGAATTTGAGAATTTTGGAATTTGGGAATTTAAGGATTAGGGAATTTGAGGACTTGGGGATTTGGGGATTTGAAGGTTGTAGGAAAGATTTGGGAATTTCAAGGCTGAAGAATATGGGGTTGGGAATTTGGGGATTTAGAGGTTGCAGGAGAGATTTAGGAGTTTAAAGGCTTCGGAATTTGGGGGTTGGGAAATTGGGGATGTGGGAATCTGGGGATTTGAGAATTTTGGGATATGAAGATTTGGGGATGTGACAATTTGGGGGTTTGAGAATTTGGGGATGTGGTGATTTGGAGATTTGAGATTTTGGGGGTTTGAGAATTTGGGGATGTGGTGATTTGGTGGTTTGAGAATTTGGGGATGTGGTAATTTGGGGGTTTGAGAATTTGGGGATGTGGTGATTTGGACGATTGAGAATTTGGGGATGTGGTGATTTGGGGGTTTGAGAATTTGGGGATGTGGTAATTTGGGGGTTTGAGAATTTGGGGATGTGACGATTTGGAGGTTTGAGATTTTGGGGATTTGAGAATTTGGGGGTGTGATGATTTGGAAGTTTGAGAATTTGGGGGTGTGATGATTTGGAAGTTTGAGAATTTGGGGATGTGGTGTTTTGGAGGTTTGAGAATTTGGGGATGTGACGATTTGGAGGTTTGAGATTTTGGGGATTTGAGAATTTGGGGGTGTGATGATTTGGAAGTTTGAGAATTTGGGGGTGTGATGATTTGGAAGTTTGAGAATTTGGGGATGTGGTGTTTTGGAGGTTTGAAAATTTGGGGATATGGTGATTTGGGAGTTTGAGAATTTGGGGATGTGGTGATTTGGAGGTTTGAGATTTTGGGGGTTTGAGAATTTGGGGGTGTGATGATTTGGAAGTTTGAGATTTTGGGGGTTTAAAAATTTGGAGGTTTGAGAATTTTGAGATATGAGGATTTGGGTATGTGAGAATTTAATGATGATCTGGGAAAAATGAATTTTAATATACATATGAGTACTTAGAAATTTGAAGAGATCAAAGAATTTGAAGAGTGGAAGACTTGAAGATTAGTAAATTTGAAACTTCAGGCACTTCGAAATATTAGAAAATTCAGATACTTGAAAACGTCTAAAATATTTAAAAATTGACCTAAACCTAAAAATCAGAGAATGATAAAATTTCTAAATTTCTCTACCAAAACTAATTACGTAAAACTAAACGAACCTATAGCACCCCACGTAACATTGCTTATAAGAGGCCATTCTCTGCTCCGACTCCTCAAATAATGAAACACCCTTCGACTCTCGTCATCGGTCACCCTGAGTGCCACCACACAGGCAATACAAAGTATCTGTAAATCAAACAAGACTTTTACCTAATACGTTTCACACGTGATACATATTTTAAATTATAATAGTAAAACCAGTTACCACTTCGATAATCCTGATGAACACTTTACGATTCCACATATTATGATTAGAAGAACGTTGCGAAGGCATAAAAAAAGAGTCAGAGAAACGGACGACGTTGACCCGTTTGCATAATTTTCACTTTTGTTCGTTGCATTACCAGCTACTATAATTACACGGTTCAGTAACGTTAAATGAGATCGATGGATTAAATCTAAATTGTCTCTAAATAGATGACATTTAAAAATATTTCAAAATGGTTTCAGATAAGGATCATTTATTATGTAACATCGAAATGTTTTTAAATAAAGATCATAATAGTGGAAACAAAATTTTCTTTTCTTTCTCATTTACTTATTTGTTAATCAGAGAGTTGCAATATTTTGTTAATTTTATTTTTAGAGACCTCTTCAAGTTTCCAAAAATATATTACACAAAATTTTAATTCATTTAAAACACATTTCTAATTGTTGTGAAATTTTTAGTTATAAATAATTGCACTTTATATTTTTAAAAATTATGTTAGTCTAAGATGTATTAGTCTTCCAAAGAGTAAAATCTGTCACTACATATAATAGTTTCCTACGATCATGACAAATCAACTATTTCATTAAAAACTGTATATTAATAAACAATTTTTAAATTGATAACATAGCAGCAATTTTTCTATATTTTCTTCAAATCACTTCCTAAACAGAACAAACTAAAATGCAATAATAATCCACATTTTTGCACTTTTACAAATTTTCCAAAAAAAAAAAAGAAATCACAACAATAAAATCAATCTAAGTCCATGTTTCTTTTCCTATTTAAAATATTAAAAAATTTTATTTAAATTTGTTTAGATAATGTAAATGAACCTTGTGAATGAAAGATGAATGAATGAAAATATAATGAATGAAATTCACGTTTAAACTTGGTGATTTTAATGATCGATCGTAAGAAAGGGTTAAGAGAAGAGCACTCGCGTCGCGACGCGTTCGAACGACAACTGAACAGATAGAAGAGAATCGCAGTTAAACTTACACAAGCTATACCTTGTCACGTAATAAGGTCTGCGTACTGCAGTTAACAACAATGCTACTATCGTAAGGTGCATTGGCGCAGGACGGTGTGAATTTTCGCAATAAACACCATGGAAATGACTAACCATGTGTACCTTGAACCGGTTCGATAGCATTTCGTTGAAGCGACGAACAGGCTCGCAAGAAAATATTTTTAGTGAAATGAAATTCAGTGAAATTCAGTTTTTGCTGTTGGAGAGATTTGGAGATTTGGGAATTTGGGATTTTTGGGATTTGGGGATTTAGGGGATTGGAGAGTCGGAAATTTGGAAATTTGAAAATTTAGGAATTTGGGGATTTAAGGGATTGGAGAGTTGGAAATTTGGGATTTTGCGAATTTGGAGATTTAAGGGGTTGGAAAGTTGGAAATTTGGGATTTTAGGAATTTGGGGATTTAGAGGGTTGGAAAGTTGGAAATTTGGGACTTTAGGAATTTGGGGATTTAGAGGGTTAGAGAGTTAGAAATTTGGAAATGTGGGAATTTAGGATTTTAGGAATTTGGGGATTTGAGGGGTTGGAAAGTTGGAAATTTTGGATTTTAAGAATTTGGGGATTTAAGGGGTTGGAGAGTTGGAAATTCGAGACTTTAGGAATTTGGGGATTTAGAGGGGTAGAGAGTTAGAAATTTGGAAATGTGGGAATTTAGGATTTTAGTAATTTGGAAATTTAAGGGGTTGGAGAGTTGGAAATTTGGGATTTTAGGAATTTGGGGATTTAAGGGGTTGGAGAGTTGGAAATTTGGGACTTTAGGAATTTGGGGATTTAGAGGGTTAGAGAGTTAGAAATTTGGAAATATAGGAATTTAGGATTTTAGGAATTTGGGAATTTAGGAGGTTGGAGAGTTGGAAATTTGGGATTTTAGGAATTTGGGGATTTAGGGAATTGGGAGTTGGAATTTTGGGAATTTGTAAAGGTGGAAATTTGGGGAATTAATCATTTGGAAATTGGGGAAATTAGTAATTTGGAAATTTGGGAAATTAGTCATTTAGAAATTTGGGAAACTAATCAGTTGGAAATTTGTAAAATTGTAATTACCAAATTTCAGAATTTGTGAAACCAAAAACTTGAAAATCTATGACTCCAAAAATTTGCAAAATTGTACATTCTGAAATGGCAAAAAAAAATTACAAGCTGAGAAATTAAAAAATTCAAGTCAATATGGGATTGCAGAATAAAATCTTTGTTAATAATGTTCATGAGGAACATATTAAATGACTCAGGATATAAAACGATTTAAAATTGCAGGTATACGACAAATTGCTCGTACGATTTTATTGAATCATGCTATGAATCAGCTATGATGTCTAGAATCAATTTACCTATTTTACTAGAAATGTAGAGATTTTTTAAAAATAATATTATTCAAAGACACTTGTACAGTTGATTTACAAATAATAATAATAATATACATATTTTAATACTCGTATACAGAATTGATGTAAAAATCATTTTACATCAGTAAAATAATTTGATGAAGTTTTAAGAATTAATACACGTGCCATTATAAACTTGGAATATTCCGCTCGAGTCTTCTGTCTTTTCTTTTAACCTGTTCAACGGCAACTCACATACATTGTATCAAGAACTGTATCGATTTTCGAGCGAGCAACAAGTTGCCCAGACGACAAATGTATCCTTCACGAAAAATAACTTGTACGAACAATCTAAACAATTTCACAGAAAAGTATAAAAAATAGTTAATATTCAGTCATTGAACTCATTGTACATATAATTAATTTAACAGCAAATGTAGATTGTAAAAAATATGTAAATAAAATTATTGTACTCTCAGTAGATGCGTAGTGTGGTTCATCAAAATGTACAAAATTGTGTTGCTATTAAAATTATTATTAATTTACATCTTTGACAAGTTTGTTTATATTACAGAATATTTATAGAATATTTTTTTTTTAAGAATATTTACAAGAACATTTTTTAAAGAATTATTTATAGAATATTTTTTTAACAGAATATTTGTAGCAACATTTTTTAACAGAATTATTTATAGAATATTTTTTTTGCGGAATTATTTATATAATTTTTTTTTACAGAATATTCACAGGAACATTTTTTAAAGAATTATTTACAGAAACATTTTTTTAAACAATTATTTATAGGAACATTTTATAGGAATATTTATACAACACATACTACAGAATATTCACAAAATATTTATAACAACAAGTTAAAAATTAAAAATACAGAAAATAAAATATTTGAAAGAATTTACAGAACCGATTTCATTTCAGAAAGAAACGATTCCTCAGAAACAAAGACGTAAATCGAAAAGAAAGAGAATACCAGAAAGGACAGATGAATATTTACTCCCCTCCAAGGGCTAACAAGAAATAAATTTGTCCAATGACATTAGTCCGAAATAAGCGCCATCTGATCTCGCCATCGAACGGCCCTGCTTTTTAGCATCAGTCGCCTTCGAACCGTGATCTTGTGTTTATTGATCGTCGATCTCTCAGAGTCTATTATCTCTCGAATCCACTTTATGAATTATTAAATATATTTACAACATTAGCATACATTTATGAATCACCCTCCTCGTTTTACAGAATATTATTATAAATAAAAATTATTAGTGACATGTCGATAAATATTGAAGAAAAAGCTTGTAAGGAAATGCAAATATTTAACAGAAATCATGAAGAAGATAGTAAGAAACAATTTGGTAAGTGACAGATTATTTTAATTTAATATTTACTTTAAATTGTGAGAATTTACAGAACACAACTTTTGTGTTAACTTGTTAATTGTTAAATTTTTTCAATTTTTATGACTTGAAAATTTTCAAAGTGTTTCTATATGATTTTGGTTTTTATTTGTTTGTGTAAGTGATTGTAAAATTAATATAATGTGATAAAGTTAAAATATGGTTTTTATTAAAAAGATATTGTGAATAGTATTCGATCGTACCTCTTTTCTTTATCGGAAATTACCGTTGGAAATATTGTTTGCTGTCTTCTTTTGTTTCACGAAATATTTTGGGAGCTTGAGTACAGAACACCACTAGAAATATAAAGTCCCTGGGTTTAAATTTCTAAGTTTTACATTTTTATAATTTTTTGCTGTGTGATACATTTTTCATGTGGATGAAATTTTCAAATTTTTAATTTTTAAATTCTTAGATTATGTTTAGAAATCCAGAAAGACTTTACACTTTGAAGCTACCTAAATTATTGGGTTGAAAAATTTAGAAATTTTCGATGTTTCAAATTCTCAAATTATCACATCAAACTTCTAATATTTCAATGTTTCAAATTTTCAAATTATCAAGTTATGAAATTATCAAATTTTTAATGCTCCAATGTTTCAAATTTTCAACTGATCAAATTTAAAATTCCCTTTTGCGTTTCACTTTTGAGCCACCATTAATTTGAACAACTGACCCGTTTGTTCCCACGAGCATTTTTGCAAAAATTGTCAAAACCTGTACAGATAAATATGTATTGAGTAATACAACTTTATTGAGCAAATAAAACAATTGTTACAATACAAATCTTATAATAAAAACTTCTCTTCATATTACAAACTTTAGTACAGTACTCATATGTCTCATATGTACTCATATGGTAACACATGTGTAAATTTCATATTTTACAAAAATCAATGTACTTAAATGAATACTAGATCACAATGAATCCTCTTAAGAACCATAAACGAACACAAAAAAAATCGAAAAAATCCACCCCTAAAATTCCCCAAAATTCCCCCAAACTAATCCATAACTAACATAACTAATTCAGGTAGCAAGAAGTCCACCCCGCAAGCACGATGGGGCAACAAAATACCGAGCCTAAAAGAACAAATGGAAGCCAGCATGAAGTTATTACAATTCGTAGCCGACACTCAATTAACACTAACTCAGATCAATGGGCAAAGAAAACTTGGTCCTCCTCCAGGATGGACAGGACCTCCTCCAGGACCCAAATGCGAGATATTCGTCGGCAGTATCCCTCGAAATTACTACGAGCCAGAGATCGTTTATCTGTTCAGTTCCGTTGGGACGATTTACGAGCTACGTTTGATGATGGATTTTTCGGGGACGAACAGAGGATACTGTTTCATCATGTACAGCACTGAAGAGGAAGCGGCTCGTGCAGTCGCAAAATTGGATCAGTATGAGATTTATCCTGGGAAGAGGATCGGCGTTGTGGCGAGCATTAATAACTGCAGACTTTATATAGGGCAGTTGCCGCGGAGTATGGATACTACAATTATTGTTAAGGTCTGTTTTATTTCAGAAATAAGTATAGAAAGATAGAACAAGTTATTGTTGTTTATTATTGAGGGCGTCGACTGCCGTGGTTATTAGCCCGAGATAGAACAAGTATAGAGATATAGAAATGTAGGAAGGATTAGAGAGATTAGAGATTAAGATTAGAGGAATATAGGAATTTGTAGATATCTGGGTTTGTGAATTTGAGAGTGCAAGCAATTAGAAATATGTATAGGGTTCAGGGAGTTGAGGGATAAATCCTCACCCTTGAGGGGTGTTCAGGTACATAAATTTCGGTGTAGAAAGCTTGAGTAGGAATTTGGGAATGGGGAGATTTGGGGATGTAGGGATTTCGAGATGTAGAGATGTGGAGATGTAGGGATTTGGAGACGTGGAATTTGGGGATGTAGGGATTTAAACAGAGAGGAATTTGGGAATGTAGAAATTTGGACATATAGGAATTGGGGGATGTAGAGATTTGGAGATGTAGGAATGTGGATAATTATGGATTTGGACGCATAGGAATTTGGGGATGTAGAGATTTGGACACAGTAATTTGGGGGTGTAGGAATTTGGACACATAACATTTTGAGGGTGTAGGAATTTGGACACATAGTGATTTGGAAATGTAGGGATGTGGACGCATAGTAATTTGGGGATGTAGGGATGTGGATAATTATGGATTTGGACGCATAGGAATTTGGAGATGTAGAGATTTGGACACATAGTAATTTGGGGGTGTAGGAATTCGGACGCATAGTAATTTGAGAATATAGGAATTTGGACACATAGTAATTTGGGAATGTAGGGATGTGAACACATAGAAACTTGGTGATGTAGAGATTTGATCGCGTTGGAATTTGAGGCCGTAGCAATTTGGGGATGTAGGGATTTGGATATGTAGGAATTTGAACACGTAGGAATTTGAGGATGTAGAGATTTGGACACATAGCATTTTGGAGGTGTAGGAATTTGGACACATAGTAATTTGGGAATGTAGGAATTTGGACACATAGTAATTTGGGAATGTAGGGATATGAACACATAGGAACTTGGTGATGTAGAGATTTGGTCGCGTTGGAATTTGCGGCCGTAGCAATTTGGATGTGTAGGAATTTGAACACATAGTAATTTGGGAATGTAGAGATGTGGCCACACGAACATTTAAGGACGTAAGGATTTGGACATGTTGAAACTTGAGGATGTAGGTATAGATTTATAGACATTTGTGGATGTAAGGATGTGAATATGCAGGAACTTGAAGATATAAGAATTTGGAGATGTAAGGATGTGAATATGCAGGAACTTGAAGATATTAGTATTTGGGGATGTAAGGATGTGAATATGCAGGAACTTGAAGATATAAGAATTTGAGGATGTAATGATACATAGACATTTAGTCATGTAGGTATTTGGATATGTAGGAACTTAAGGATGTAGAAACTTGAGGGTGTAGGGATGTGAACATATAGACATTTGAAGATGTAGGAATTCGAATACCTACAAACTTGATGTTAGGATGTGTACACATACACATTTGTTCATATATAGATTTGAAGTAGAGTTCCAAGTAAAAACTTGAGGATGTAGGATTGTATACACATCCACATTTGGACTTGCAGGGATTTGAACACCTACAAAGTTGATGTTACTATGTGTACACATACACATTTGTTAATATATAGACTTGAAGTAGAATTTCAAGTAGAAACTTGAAGATGTAAGATATTCTATAATCTTGCATATGCATATGTACATACACACTTGAACATATATGTAGAGGTTTGGAAATGTAAGGATTTGATAACATATGAATTTAACAATGTACAGATTTATTGTTAGTACGATTATATCTATAATCAACAAGTATAATCACTAATATTTGTTTCAATATCTCCAGCGTATCTACGAAATCACAGACGACGTGGACAAAGTATCGGTATACCGAAACCACAACGGTTTTGTCAGCTACGTGTTGGTCTCTTACAAGACTCATCGAGGTGCAGCAATGGCGAGAAGAAGATTAGTACCCGAGTCATCGACGCTTTTTAAAAATCATCAAGTTATCGTAGAATGGGCGAATCCTAACGTGTCGCCTTGCAATATGGTACGTTTATTTAGAATTGGGGGATTTGAGGGTTTTAGTACTTGAGTTGGGGATTTAGTGTGGAAATTTAGGAATTTGGAAATTTGAGAATTAATATGATAGGTGTTGTTAATTTAGAATTTAGGGAATTTTGTAATTTCAGTGCTTGAGAATTTGGGGATTTAAGAGGGTGGAAATTTAATAATTTGAAAATGTGAGAATTAACGTGGTATGTATTGTTAATTTAAAATTTGGGGAATTTCACAATTTCAGTACTTGAGAATTTGGGGATTTGGAATTGTAGAAATTTAAAAATTTGATAATTGACATGATGCATATTGTTAATTTAGAATTTAGAGAATTTGACAATTTCAGTACCTAATAATTTGGGGATTTGAAAATGTAAAAATTTTAGAACTAACATATCGTTAATTTCACCGAAATTTATGTTAGGAATAATTGATTTTTATCCACGGTGTATTTAATGGAGGAGAAACGTCAGATTCGACGAAGAGAGTCAGTGTTTGCAAATGTCGTAGATTATGATTCTCCTTTTTCGCGTCGAGAACAATGACAGCAGTCAATTATGGTCCCACGAGAAAATGGGACGTGGGTACTTTCCCTTGTTGATTTGTCTCTTTATGTCCCATCGGTATTTGCAAGAATTAGAAACCTTGTCTAAGAAAGCCGAACAGAAAATTGTTCCTATTATAACTCGTATCTCGATGAATCTTCGATATCACTCTCAATTAAAACAAAAACTTCAGCGTGAGAATTATTTTTACTCAAGATAAAACTAAATAATTTCATCGAAAGCAAAACTTATTACAAAAAAAATTCAAAACAGAACATTTACAGATTTATTTTAGAATCATTAAATTTTACATTTTTGCCTTGGAAGTGTTTGAAGAAAAATATTAGACATTTTAACAAAATTATTTTTAATATTATTCTTTTCATAATTTTCTTTTAATTTTGGATTATAAAAAGGAAGCTTGACAAATTACTCTAAAATATATTACAAGTATATTATTCTTTAAAAATGATGAAAAAAAGATTTTTGTACATAGATGGCGTAGTCACGTCAATAAGGTAGTTTGAATGAAGCGATTCATAAAAGCGCCACTAGAGGCGCTACACTCCGTCGACATTCATTAAAGCCAGTGTACAATTGCTGAGTTGATCAGCTGATCGTAGTGCGTACTCGTGTCACACAAAACGGAGTTTCTCTATTATATTATTTAGAAAATCTTGTAAAAATCAGTGAAAATGAGTGTCTCCGATATTAAAAACAGTGAATATCACGATTATCGCAGCCCTTTGGCGACGAGATACGCCTCGAAGGAAATGCGTTTTAACTTCAGTGAACAACATAAGTTCAGCACGTGGCGAAAATTATGGGTCTACTTGGCTAAGGCAGAAATGGTTCGTAATTATCGAACTAATTATTATATTGTTGGATGACATACTTTTACTTGCTTCATTTTTTGGGGGAATATATATTTGCATGCAAGATAATTGTATACTAATTTATTATGTAGAATAGTGTATTTGTTGAGGATATTATTTTGGCGGGAAATATTTATTAATTTAATTTGAGAGAATTTTGGGAAATATTTTATTTATTCTCTATGGATTCTTTATTTATTCTTTATGGATTCTTTATTTATTCTTGCTTCTATTCTTTATTCATTGTTTATTCTGTTATTCATTTGGGAAATAAATTATTGTTCTTTATTTATTTTATTTATTCATATGTTGAGTTGCAAGATAATTTGATATATTGCGGATGTTGAAGTTTTGGAGGTGTAGATATTTGCTGAAATATTTGATAAAATATCTAAACTTATATCTGTCATATTTAATGTGTCATAGATTATTTTTAAAATGTGTTGAATTAATATTTGCTAAGATATATTTAAAAAAAGATCTAGACTATTACTTTCAGATCATCTACAGAATTATTTCTATTTAACATTAGGTTTACGGACACTTGATAGTCACTTATATTTAAATTTGAACTAAAATAGAAAAATAAATAAATTTGGGACAATATGTGAACTTCTTAAGACATTGATTCTTTAGCTTGATGGAAGTTGACATATATTTGTGCAAAAATTTCTTAATAAGTCTTGTCATTTAAAATAAGAGATCTATGATCCATCATTTTAACGGGTTCCATAATTCTAATATTAAGATATGTATCGGTAGTTTGTATCTAAATCTTTTAAATATACATATACTTTTAGTAAACATACATATACTCTGAAAATAAATCTATTATTCTGATAAAATATTTACAGAAATATCTTGCCTCTATGTGTACATATTGATACATTTATTTTCAGAGTCTTTAGATACATATGCAATATGATTTTGTCGAAGAATATATACAAATATTCAAGTTTGAAATTAATTTAAAATATATTTACATTTTCTACATATACCTAAACTTTTAGAATGAGTCAGAAATATCTGGAGAATTATCTAAACTTCAGAAGTGTCTATAGAAATAGCTAAACTTTAAAACTGTCTATAGACAGACCTACACTTCAAAATTGTCTGTAGACATATGTATACTTCAGAATTGTTTATAGAAGTATCTAAACTTGAGAATTATCTAAGAAAACATCTGAATGTCATTTAATTGAAAATACATATATACCCTTAAAATTTACAAGTACCCACAGAAATATCTCTTTTTTGCATTTTGCATCTGCCAGTCATAATTAGACTTAACAATATTAACAAGTAATTAGCTGCTGAGTTAATATGAACAGGAAAATACATTGTACAGTAAATATTTACACATACATTAATCAGTAAATTAACAACCGAAGAGGAAATGATCTCGAAGTTTGCAAACACGTCTCTCCTCCATCCTCAACCAATTTCCCAATTTCCCCTAAATTTTAGTATGAAGAATGCGGCACAATGGACAGGCACGGCAACGTGTCCACAACTCAAACCTTCATCGAGCCAAAGAGGCTGAAGAAGGTCGTAGCCCAAACGAAAGACAAAACCGAAACCTGGGACAAAATGACCCAAACCCACAGCTTCGACGCCACAGTTCGAAGAGGTCGACCGATCAAAGCCGCCAATCAAGCTCCATCAAACTCCCTTCAAAAATACAACTCCATAGACTCCAAACGTCAACGCAAAATGTGGGACATCAACGGAAACTTCAGAAGCTCCTCAGATAATTTGCACAAAAATCCTGAACAAAAATACACAGACGTTTTACCGTCCATCAGCAATTTCTTGAACAGAAGACATTCGAAACCGAACGACGGGAGAACCTTCGGAGTAGACATTCAGAATTTTACCAGCAATTTGTCTCGAGATTTTTATAATTATATAAGTCCGTGTCAATGCAGATTTTATGCGAACGATTTTAACAAATTTTGGAGTCCTGTTGACGTTCTTGTACCTCGGTTCTCTGATACATTGAACATAAATGGAAATGAGAATTGTCAAAACTATGGGTATAATTATCAGGTGGCGCGAAATGTAGGATTTCAGGGTTTCAGGGAACCTTTTTACCCAATGGGGCAGAATTTGGGGGTTAATAGACAGTTTGAGGGGAAGAATTTCTCTAACGAAGTTTCTTTTTGTAATTCTTTCGATAATGTTAGAGTTGATGATAAATGTTTGCAGGAGTACTCTGGGAACTCTGTTAGCTATCCACAGTAACAAAATTTCGAGGTTATGTCTTATATTTTCAAATAGCTCTCTTTGCATTCTCGCAGTGTATAATTATTTTTAGTCTTTTGCAATGAAATTAAATTTACAAATTAAGTTGACAAATTCAATTTACAAATTTAATATTAGAGATTCAGTATCAAGAAATCAGACCCCCCTGTAACAAAGATGGCGATAAAATATTCATGGAATAATTCAGTAATCAGCACAAGCGTCGAGCAAGCAAATTATTTCAATCTTCGATTGCTTCGTTGGGTGGCGTTATATAAGACTGTTTGTCTCGCGATAACGAGATCATAAATATTCAGCGAAAACATCAGAAGCTTATCTTTGTAAATAGTTCGCATTGAAAAATTTTGTTAACCAGCTACATTTACCGGATCATTATACCATTTCCTATATTGCCATAGAAGTTTGCTAGAAGTCAGTTTGCCATGGTTTACTGAAAGTGACTGAACTTTTACAATTTTGAAATATTTGTAAAAATTGAAACACTTATCAAAATTTTTTTTATATAAATATAGGCATCATGGTTCAATTTTTATTACTTTTTTTTATGTAGAAAGCAAAAGAAATTTTTGAATAAATTGAGTAATTTTTTTTCTGAAAAATTTATGATTGTATTTTTTATTAGGTCACTTTCGAGCAAACTGGTGGACTTTGTTAATCAGTATTTGGAGTAATTAACTTGTAATCAGTTTTTATAATCAGTGTAGTGTTAACATATTTTTGTAATATAGAATAATTATGTAATTAACCGCCACGATAAAAGCGCGAACTTTTATACCAAAGATTAATCTATATTAAGAATAGTAACTAGATAATCGTTTTTCTTTTTACTTTCGTATCACTATAATCGTAAGAATCAGTACGTGACCTTTGTATCATTTTATTTTCTAATCTTATGATTCATTTTTTTTTAAATCAAGATCCGTTTCCTTCGATTCTATATATTTTCTGATATGTACCGTTTATATCTTATTTTTTCTAATCAGTTTGTAATCCGAAAGAAAATTGCGATTTTTGTTTGCGAACAGCTGCAGTTATTATTTATTGGAAACATTAACAAATATAATATTATTTTACAATAAGTATCTTACAATCATTTGTTACTATGTTTAACTTTCCATGCGATCTCGTTTTTTTTTGAAGAAATAAATCGAACGCTTCGAGTTGTGTTTGTAATTCATTTAAGTCTTTTACAATTTCTTAAAATTATAAAAATATTTTTAAGTAGAAAATTTACAGTCGATTTCAAAGTATGTACATGGAAATCTGCAAAAATATTGAATTTTTAAAAATTGTAATAAAGTTTTGTATTTTTTTCTTAAATTAAAATAATACTTGATTACCTTTTACACAGACATCTTAAAATTATATTTTCTTCAATAACACCTTCAATTAATAGTATTTTGAGACAAATTATTATTTAATTTGATAATATCGGAGCCACCAGTTGCTCCTGCACTTTTCCACAGTTTGGACAACCATTAATCTTATTTCGAATTCCCTACAAAAATAGAATTTATCAATTTTTAAAAAATTGTTATTAAAATTAAAAGGTATATCAGTAATATTACAGCATTATCCTGCAATTCGTAACTGCGTTTTGGACGTATGAAATTTTTACAGCCGGCACACTTTAAACGCTTCTCACTGCCATCTTTATATAGAACCTACAAAAAGATTCACGTAAATTATGAAACCTCGAAAATAGTTTTAATCGTGGTACTTTAGTGGAGTTGGGAGTTGCACAATATTTGCAGTAAAATCTTCCACGTTTGTCTTTGAAAATATTGTAATAATCCAGGGAGGTTGACCCGGTTGCCACCTATTTAAATTTATGGGAGATTTAGGGGTGAATGTGGTCAAATTTGGTATGGTAAAAATATTCAAATTTTGTGTCATTAAGTACTCAAGTTTGGTACTGTAAAAGTATTCAAATTTGGTATCATTAAGTACTTAAGTTTGGTACTGCAAAAGTATTCAAATTTGGTAGCAATAAGTACTCAAATTTGGTACTGCAAAAGTATTCAAATTTGGTAGCAATAAGTACCCAAATTTGGTATCTTAAAATATTCAAAATTTGTATCATAAAAGTACTGAAATCTGGTACCATAAAGTACCAAAAATTCCAAACAGAAAAACTACTAAAAATAAATTCACCAAAAAGTAACAATTCAATTTACTTGTAGTCTCCTGCAGGATGGACAGACATTAACAGCTTGCAACGCTGGACTCTTTTCTGCAAACAGTTTCTATAAAATATTTTACTAATTATCGTATAAAATAGGGCATTTAAAGTACACAATCGAAAGAATTAGGGAAGCAGTCTTTTCTTTGTTGAAAAAATTGCATACAACCATTGCAGATGTTTCTTAACGTCAAAAATTCTTTCTGGATGCAAGGTGGGCTAACCTCGGATTGGGCTTCGTAACTCAAGGTTTGAACGTCCGTTTCCGTATGTCTGTAGGAACAAATAAATGTGATGTACTGATGTCAAACCAGGGTTTGGTATATTAGTACATTATCTCTTACGTCACTTCGGCTGGTTCGACTTTGTTCTTCTTTTGGAAAATGTAGGTCCTTTTTTGTCGGTTCGGGTTTGGCGCCTCTCCAGGTTTCCTAATTAACAGAATACAATTTGTAGGTCCCTGACTACTCACTACTGTAGGCCCCTGAAATGGGGGGTAGCTGACGTGATTCTGAATAATATTTCCCTTTGCAAAAATGGGGTTTGAAGCTTCGTTTTTTAATTATTCCTCCGAGCTTTTGTGAAACGTAACAATTCTTCGAAGAGCCACTCTCGACTCATCAAGTACGCAGCAAAATAAAAGTACGTATCAAGTTCCAAGTATCAGGTTTCAGGTATCAAATATCAGGTTTCAAATATCAAGTTTCAAGATTCAAGTATCGAGTTACAAGTCTGGTCGTTAAAAGTACGTATCAAGTTACAAGTATCAGGTTTCAGGTAGCAAGTGTCGGGTTTCGAATATTACGTTTCAAGGTCCAAGTATCAAGTTTCAGGTATCAAGTGTCAGAATCCTTCAGAATCACGTCAGCTACCTCCCATTTCAGGGACCTACACTAATTGTGAGACACTCTGTATCTGAGGAAGCTTTTCAACTAGTGTATAGTTATCATTTCTCAATACTTATGTCATGAAATCGTATCAGACTCTACTGAAATCGTATTCACTAACAAAATCGAGTGAAGCCATTTTCTTACAAACTTGAATAAATACTACTGTCATTCAATTTGAATAAATACTGTCATTCAATTCGAATAAATATTGCTGTCATTCAACTTGAATAAATACTGTCATTCATTTTGAATAAATACTGTCATTCAATTCGAATAAATATTGCTGTCATCCAATTTGAATACCACCAAATCTCTTACGTTTGCGTTCCCATGTGAGGTTTAGGTATCACAATGGAGTCCGACGATCGTTCCACCTTCTCCGTTTCGTTTCCACTTTTCACAGGTTTCAATACGTCCTTGTCAGAATAGCCATACGCTTCAGAGCTCTCCCTCGATATATAAGACGAAAGTTTACTGTCCATGGTAATGTTACTCGAATCATTCTGACTGTCCAAGCTTTTCATCCGACTATCATCACTGAATATTTCGTCGGGTCCTTTAGCAAAACCCACGATCCTCGACGTGCCCACCTCGCTCTTCTCACTCGTTCCCACTTTGCTTTCCGTTTTATCGGTGCCTTTCCTCGAAATCTCGCTGGCGGTCGACAAATCCTGCTTATTCCCTTCGATTTCCTGTAGACGATCGATCATTTCCGCCACGAGCCTCGGTGGAGAAATCAGCTGTTTGGTCTCTGTGGGTGTCATCGACAGTTTTTCCTCTCCGTCGATCGATTCCTTGGCTGTCTCTTGAGAAACCGTATCTACAGGCTTTTCTTGGGTCACGCATTTTACCGAATCTGTTGGCTTTTCTGCAGGTGTTCTCACGCATTCGGTTATCTTCACTTCTGTTTCCGCAACTTTCGCAGCTTCTTTTTTGCTCGATTCTGCTTTCGACTCCTTTAACACGGGCTTTAGTTTCTTCGAATCTTTCTCTTTTTTCTCCTTTTCTGGTATTTGTACCTCGGTCAATTTCTTGTCCTTCTTCTCTGGTTCTGTTATCTTCACCGCTGGCTCTGTTATCTTCACCACTGTTTCTGCCTTCTTACTGTGTTGAGAAAAGTCGATAAATTATTAGAAGAACGTTGTACGGTTGTCAACCCACGAGATGGCGCGTGAGCTGTGACGCACTGATGACGCACTCGCCAGTTCTGATACATTCACGACGCACTTATGACGCACTCGTGATACATTCGTGACATCGGTTCGTAAATGAAGCAACTTGCAAAACTCACGTGGCTTTCGAATCTTTGCTGACAGTAGTCTGACAAGAAGTGTCAGTCATTTGGCTCGGGGTGACACAGTAGGATGCAAGAGTGAGTTTCGTGATGGTCCCCGTTCTTCCTTTCATTGCATCGTCTTGTTCACCTTTGTAAAATGTCCAAATTATAAACTTTCATACTGTGTCCCACACTGTGAATCACATTACTCATAAAATACTCGAATTATAGTTTGTCAGTTAAAAAAAATACCCATTTTGTTTTTCAATAATTTCATCGTATATTTATGATGATTTGTACTGTTTGCATAAATGTTTAATTCAAGATTGATTTAAAATGTCACATGTTTGCTCTTTGATTTCTCGCTCGCACTCGCAACCTGATGGATTCGAGGTTGCTCACTCGTCACGATTTCGTAGGATTTCTCGTCTACCGGTTGCTGCCAGTGTTTCGCGTCTTTGACCGGTTTTTGGTCCTTTGACGATTTTTGTCGTTGGGTTTGTTGCTGCTGGGTCTGTTGGGGCACTTGAATTATTCCTGTCACGCATCTACAACTGATTTTTACGAGGTGATCACATTTATTGAAATTTGGAAATCTGTTTCCGTTTTGATGGAAATTTCTGTGTGGATAGATCTTTTCAGTTTTCCAAATTTCTTAAGTTTTTCGGGGTTTTAGTTTACTTCTTGGTTATACTATTTTGCAATTTGTGAATTATTACATTTGTAAATTATTAAATTTGTAAATTATCAAGTTTGTACATTATCAAGTTTCTAAGCTATCAGACTTCTAACTTACCAGGCATCTAATATAACAAATTTCTAATTTGCCAAAATTTTAAGTTGCCAAATTTTTCAATTTCCAAAATCTCCACATTCTCAAACTCATAAATTACCAAACCCCTAAATTTTCCAATCTCCAAAAGATAAAATTATGAAGTAAGCATGAGAACGCACCCAGGGCAACACGGTGCTCCTCGAATGAGCTGCATGAGTGCAGGACATGTTGCGCAAGGTGTCTGTGGCACTGTACCCACCATAGGATCCTTCGGCGTCGAAAATATCGGTATTTGACGATTGCAGAGTTCGCATTTGCTCACGGTTTGCACTGGTATTTCCTTTATCTCTCGATGAGTCTAATTTATTAAAATCATCATATTACCAAAAAAATCTTAAACTACCCTGAAATATTCTTAATGCAATATTCACTAATTTAATACAAGGTGTCTCACTACTGGTCCCTTAATCAAACAGTGTATACTTCAAACTAATACTTATATGAAGATTTCTACAAGTACATTGTCTTCTCACTCACTTGACTCTGTATATTGCGAGTATCACTCGGTTCCGTTTGTATGTCGGCAACTTCGACAATGGCAACTTTTGGAGCACTAGTCTGACGATCGACGTATTCGCGTCGACGTCCATATCCAACTTTTCTACGACTATGATCAACCTCCTCGTCTCCGGAAGCTACTTTGAGGCTGCTGACGCTTGTCGTCAAGTCGTGCTTGGTTATCTAAACAATTTTTTAGTTTCATATAAAAGACTAGAAAATTTTTCAACTTCATTTCTCGATATTTAGAATTAGACTCACTTCGTCACACGTAGGATAGCAAATCACGGGTTTCTGATATAACACCTCCACTCGATTCGCGCAATAGAGTTCCTTGCAAAAGTCACAGCTTCGTTTCCAAAATCTGATACAGAATTTCAGTAAAGTAAAGTTCCTTGACCGAGTGAATTCTATTTATTTTAACTTACACGACTACTGTGAGAACATCGATCAGGAACAGGATAGACAGTAATAAACAGAGACACAGTATTGTTAATATGTACCAAAGCTCGGTGGCAGAGAAAACTGGTATCAGTAAAATCCCAGCTATTCCGAACAATATTACACCGAGAAAAGAAAAGAGAAACATCTACAACAGACATTTATTATCCTTTTGTATATAGATTTTACGGTTAGATTGTTAGGGGTGTAAACTTCTAGGGATATTTACTGGAATCGACTGCAGTTCTCCTCCGCTGAGTTGACTGATAATATCGATTGCCAAGACCAACACGAAAGCTCCAGACAGTATAATAAGTAAAATACACGTTACCGACGACACACTTTCACTACCCAACGCCGTCATGTATGTTACAAACGCGAATATCAGTAGTACCACTAGCTAGTCAATCAAAAATACAATTTTTTATTTGATCCTCTTCTTCAAAAGTTTGAGAGTCAAGATTAGTGATCGAATCAGGTGTCAAGTTTCAGATATCAAGTTTCGAGATTTAAGTGTCAGGTTTCAGGTATCGAGTGTCAGGTTTCAGGTATCGAGTGTCAGGTTTCAGGTATCGAGTGTCAGGTTTCAGGTATCAAGTGTCAGATTTCAGATATCAAGTTTCAAGATACAAGTATCAGGTTTCAAGTATCGAGTGTCAGGTTACAGATATCAAGTTTCGAGATTTAAGTATCAGGTTTCAGGAATCAAGTGTCAGGTTTCAGATATCAAGTAACAAGTCTGGTCGTTCAAAGTCAAATTCACTAAAATACAGTCTATTTATGTTCACTCGTTGGGAATCTAATGATTCACGTCGTTCAATCGTCACTCAATGCTACTTATTACGCTACGACTCATACAGGAAATCGATAAAATCCCCCAGAACGGAACATTCGATTACTAAACTTGACTTAACTGTGTACACAGGTACCATCACCAGATACCTGTTACGAGTGTATATCCCAGTACTCACGAATTGGAGTATTCTAACAGGCTTAAGTAGCGGTTTCACGAATCTATGGATCCTGTCTAAGTCCCACTTGCCAGACTTCGAAGGATGCACACTATGACACGAGGGTCCTGTATCTGACGGATGGAAAAATTTGCTGTTCTCAGTTTGTCGTCGAATTACAGAAAAAGAAGATATTTGTTGAGTTATTTAACCTTGGAATTGCATGATCACTTGCGTTTACTGAGCATTCGCTTTACGCGTTCGTCGAACCTCGAAAAGTTTGGAGACCTTTCATGTGTCATCTTGTTTTTTGTTTATTGCTAGTGATCGAGATATCGATTCGTAGAGCAACTTCCTTTCGTATGTTGATTGGAAAGGAAATTATTCAGACGTTTCCTTGATTTATTATTATTTATTGTTGTAAAACTAAGTACTTTATTTTGATTTTTTTTCATTCCTTTATTTTTATATCTTTTTTATCATTTTTTTTCATGCCATTTTTTTAAGGATTAAACATTTTGTTTAATTTGACTCTGAGTTTATTGTTAATACTTAAATTACATAATTACATAAATTATTCTTACAAACTATGTCTGTGTAGTTTACAATTTTGAAGTGAAACTGAATAATAAAAATTGTAATTATACATAATACATTAGAAGTCACATACATCACACACTGTGCATACACTATCATACGTTATACATAATTTTTGCAATACCATTTATTAAAAAAATAATTTTATGCAATTAACGAATACATGTAACGATACTTTTGTGCATATAATTTATTAACAATAATTGAATAAACTTTTCATTAGAATATTTTGATCGTTACTTTACATCTAATACAAAATTGGACGGATTTAGTTTGATAAAGACACATTCACGATGGAAACAAATTAAAATTCTTGATCAACTTACAACTACAATTAACATTACTAGAATTATTATATGACCTTTGTATTATACAAAAATATTCAATGGCAATTCTGAGACTATTTGCATATAACTATAAAAGTTTAAAAATTATACTAACTCGCTGTTGCTAAACTAAAATGCTTTGGATCAATAATGTATTAACATTGACTGCATAAGTAAATAATAAAGTGTTTTACAACATCTTTGGGTAAAAATTCTAATTAATTACTGAATTACGAAATTAATAATCTAAGTTCCTAGGTACATATACAAATATAAAAGTTAACTTACAGCAATGTCTATATAATTTTAGATTAAGTATGTGGTTTAATTCTTACAATTTTTAAAAGTAACATATGGACGGAATCAGGGCTTACAACTAAATATTTCGCTATGTTAAACTATACTAATCGCTCTCTAAAAAATACGTTTTATTTTACACTACTTAATTTCTCGAAATTCTAGAACACATATGGTGGATACTTCTAATATTTAAATATGAAATATTGTTCCCATAATCATTTTCAATATTTTCCACGTCTTTAGAATTTTTAATCACTTTCGTATTAATCATGCAAATACTTTCTAGTCATATAATCACGATTTATAAAATACTTTAACATTCTTATAATTTCGGTTCTATTTTCCTCTACCCTTTCAGTACTCCACAATTTTTATTTAAAATTTTCTTTTAAATTTTAAGAATAAAATTTTGCTGTGATGCATACTGTTAACTTCTCATAAAACAAAGCACTGAAAAGGTTATCACTTTTTCTATAAATTATACAAAACTTGACTGTAAATTATCATCGATAATTTCTCGATAATGTTCCTCATTCGACACTCTTCGTCGAAGTTCTGATGATAAAGACGATTTCGATAACAAATACCAAAGCGTCCACAAACGTGAACACAGCACCGGATATGAACATGTCCAGGTACTGTTTGCTAGGATAGAGTTCGTTGTTATAGTAAGGACCCATAGGTTTCCTCCAATCATAGACGATTACTGCTCCAGCGACGACGTGTAGGAGAGCTCCCATCGAGGCAAACAATATCAGCTGTAATCAGAGCAGATCGATATTATGTACTTGCAATGTTTCGCGATCAATGATCTACTTCCGTTTTTTTTTATCGTAGCTATGAATTAAATACTACCTTTCAATATATTTATATGAGATCCCTATATCGTTTTAACTTATAATTTCTATGTTGAGATAGTTTTATGCCTTGATATATGAATGTTGTCTACATGTTAACAGAATGTTTATATATTTTGATAGTGGTAGGCCTTGATAGTGATTGTGTGGTGATATGATTATGTTGCAAGATTTCTAGGATTTGATATCTCTAGGTATGAAGATTAGTGTATTTTGATATTTTTAGGTTTTGATAGCTTTAGGTCTTGATAACTTCACGTTTCGATCTCCACGTCCCGATATCTCCACGCCCCGATATCTCCACGTCCCCATATCTCCACGCTCCGATATCTCCACGCTCCGATATCTCCACGCTCCGATATCTCCACGCTCCGATATCTCCACGCTCCGATATCTCCACGCTCCGATATCTCCACGCTCCGATATCTCCACGCTCCGATATCTCCACGCTCCGATATCTCCACGCTCCGATATCTCCACGCTCCGATATCTCCACGCTCCGATATCTCCACGCTCCGATATCTCCACGCTCCGATATCTCCACGCTCCGATATCTCCACGCTCCGATATCTCCACGCTCCGATATCTCCACGCTCCGATATCTCCACGCTCCGATATCTCCACGCTCCGATATCTCCACGCTCCGATATCTCCACGCTCCGATATCTCCACGCTCCGATATCTCCACGCTCCGATATCTCCACGCTCCGATATCTCCACGCTCCGATATCTCCACGCTCCGATATCTCCACGCTCCGATATCTCCACGCTCCGATATCTCCACGCTCCGATATCTCCACGCTCCGATATCTCCACGCTCCGATATCTCCACGCTCCGATATCTCCACGCTCCGATATCTCCACGCTCCGATATCTCCACGCTCCGATATCTCCACGCTCCGATTACTCCACGCTCCGATATCTCCACGCTCCGATATCTCCACGCTCCGATATCTCCACGCTCCGATATCTCCACGCTCCGATATCTCCACGTCCCGATATTTCTACGCTCCGATATCTCCACGTTCCGACATCACGCTCTGATATCTCCACGCTCCGATATCTCCACGCTCCGATATCTCCACGTTCTAATACGTAAAATAAATTTTTGAAATAAAGTATGTTACTCTTCAATGACTTCAATTCTGGTTTTCGTTCAATACAGAATTTACGGCCACAGGTTAGGTAACGCCGAAACGTCACATCCGTGCGTGACACTTTAGAGCTACACCTTATCGTCGCACAAAAGTAGGAGAGTTATCGGGCGACATGTTCAATGAGAGAATTATAGCTTCAACTTAACCTGTTCTTGACGCTGTTCTAAAAAGGTCAGGAAGTCATTCACTTTTGCGTGGAAGATCATAATTATTCCGTGCGTTATCACACCAGTGAGACATGTATGACAATAATTATCGCGCTTTCCGAAAGTAGTTGTACCGTTACTATTCATATCGTTGAACGACCATAAACGACTTGTAAAATGTTGATAACAGGACGTGCAACTTTGTTATCGATAATTGAATGGAAGGAATAAGTATGTCTGTCTGGAACAGGTATTTTGAATACTCGTGTGAGAACGTTGTGAACAATAAAAATTTATTTATAAAAATTCAAATCATGTTATGTTTGTAAAAAAAATTTAAATATGCAAAATAATAAAAATTTACTTGCAATGTAATATGTAATAAATTTTTGTAAGTACAATATTAATTGAAAATATAACAAAATATTTTCTAAGTAAAATACTAATTAATAACATAATAAATTATTTTCAAAGTATAATAACAATAGGTCTGAAATTTAATTAATTTCAAGAATTTTAAACACTTTCCAATGACCCGAATACACAACACGAAATTATGATTCTCCACAGAACACTCGAAGGCCGATCGATACAGTTATTTAGTTATTAGGTTATTAGCAATGCCCAATGCCACTTATGCGAACTATATAAATCGAGAAAACCTTCATTAAATAGCCTTGGATGCCTACTACACATTTGCAGTGACTACTAACATCGTACTTTGTTCTTTTTGCCATACTGCGTTATGTAACATTCAGTTGCAAATTATATATGCAATGTTTCTTTTATAGTTTGCTCTAAAATTGTTTAAAATAAAAATGTATATATACAAACATTATACACATATATGGTTCAAAAATTGCAATTTGACTCATGTCCACATATGTATGACTCTACGATAACTCCTCGTCTCGATAACTCCACGTTCCGATATCTGCACGTCCCGATATCTTTACGCTCCGAGAATTCTACGTTCCAATATCTCCACGCTCCGATATCTCCACGCTCTGATATCTCCACGCTCCGATATTTCCACGCTCTGATATTCCTACGCTTCGATATTTCCACGCTCCGATATTTCCACGCTCCGATATTTCCACGCTCCGATATTTCCACGCTCCGATATTTCCACGCTCCGATATTTCCACGCTCCGATATTTCCACGCTCCGATATTTCCACGCTCCGATATTTCCACGCTCCGATATTTCCACGCTCCGATATCTCCACGCTCCAATATCTCCACGCTCCGATATCTCCACGTCCCGATATTCCTACGCTCCGATATCTCCACGCTCCGATATCTCCACGCTCCAATATCTCCACGCTCCGATATCTCCACGCTCCAATATCTCCACGCTCCGATATCTCCACGCTCCAATATCTCCACGCTCCGATATCTCCACGCTCCAATATCTCCACGCTCCGATATCTCCACGCTCCAATATCTCCACGCTCCGATATCTCCACGCTCCAATATCTCCACGCTCCGATATCTCCACGCTCCAATATCTCCACGCTCCGATATCTCCACGCTCCAATATCTCCACGCTCCGATATCTCCACGCTCCAATATCTCCACGCTCCGATATCTCCACGCTCCGATATCTCCACGCTCCGATATCTCCACGCTCCGATATCTCCACGCTCCGATATCTCCACGCTCCGATATCTCCACGCTCCGATATCTCCACGCTCCGATATCTCCACGCTCCGATATCTCCACGCTCCGATATCTCCACGCTCCGATATCTCCACGCTCCGATATCTCCACGCTCCGATATCTCCACGCTCCGATATCTCCACGCTCCGATATCTCCACGCTCCGATATCTCCACGCTCCGATATCTCCACGCTCCGATATCTCCACGCTCCGATATCTCCACGCTCCGATATCTCCACGCTCCGATATCTCCACGCTCCGATATCTCCACGCTCCGATATCTCCACGCTCCGATATCTCCACGCTCCGATATCTCCACGCTCCGATATCTCCACGCTCCGATATCTCCACGCTCCGATATCTCCACGCTCCGATATCTCCACGCTCCGATATCTCCACGCTCCGATATCTCCACGCTCCGATATCTCCACGCTCCGATATCTCCACGCTCCGATATCTCCACGCTCCGATATCTCCACGCTCCGATATCTCCACGCTCCGATATCTCCACGCTCCGATATCTCCACGCTCCGATATCTCCACGCTCCGATATCTCCACGCTCCGATATCTCCACGCTCCGATATCTCCACGCTCCGATATCTCCACGCTCCGATATCTCCACGCTCCGATATCTCCACGCTCCGATATCTCCACGTCCCGATATTCCTACGCTCCGATATCTCCACGCTCTGATATCTCCACGCTTCGATAACTCCACGCTCCGATATCTCCAAGCTCCGACATCTCCACGCTCCGATATCTCCACGCTCCGATATTCCTACGCTCCGACATTACCACGCTCCGATATTCCTACGCTCCGATATCTCCACGCTCCGATATCTCCACGTCCCGATATTCCTACGCTCCGATATCTCCACGTTCCGACATCACGCTCTGTCGAAATCTCCATGCTCCGATATCTCCACGCTCCGATATTCCCACGCTCCGATATCCCTACGTTCCAATACCTCTACGTCCCAAAATTCCTACGTCCCGATATCTCCACGCTCCCATACTCCACATCCCCTACCTCAACACCCAAATTCCCCACCCCCACTTCCAACAAACAATCAACCAACTCATCCACTCGCAAATCACAGTCTGAACAATTCGTCTTCATAACGGAAGACTTCCTCCTCAGTCCCCAATATGAATAACCGTTCAATTATTCCAACACAATCGAACGACTCTACACATACGTATATTTGCAAGAACGACGATAGTGTCAGTACACGCACGAAGGACATGACGCATCTGTTAATTATATCAGACTCACGGTTTCTGCGACGTCTCAGCTGTGCAAATGTGACTAGTATCCAGGAAAACGCCGGAAGGTTTAAGTTACACGAAACTATGTGGAAAATAACGAATCGGGGGAATAAATCTAGCTTAATGGCGCCCTTCGTCACGCGAGCCCTTCGTCGTTTTACTTCATTAATTTATCGTTGTACTTGGAATTTGTATACCGATCAAACTTCCTGTGCACTTTTGGGAAACTTGGTTATTACATTGTTATTAAAATTTTGCAGAAAAACAAACTTTTAAATAAATTCTTTTTCTTCGCATAAATATAAATAAATAAATTTCAATCATTCTTCGGTCATTCCTAAAGTTTTTTAAACTTTTAAATTAAAATTAAAAAAACTTTTAAAGCTAAAACATTATTAAATAATTTTCTGAATTGTGAATATTTAGGGGGATATAATATTTTAATATAGTAATTTGTTTTTTAATTTGTAGAGTGTATTATTTTGCTTTCTGAACGTTTTCTGCTGCCTCATGTCATAAATTGTTTTAACTATCGTTTCTTCTGGTTTTTGTTAAGGAGTCTTTTGTTGAGCGTTAGTTATGGAAATTTAGGAATGACTTACCGTTCTTTTTGGTATTCGGTCACCCAGCAAGTGGCAAATAATGAAGAGAGAATTGATTATAATGTAACCAGCTATGCTGATGTAAATTATCGCCGCGTCGTCTAATTTGAAGTGAGACTTAATTAGGATTCTTTGGAACGAGTTCATCGGATCCACTATTAATCCAATCGCGAAGACTGCTAATACCTGTAAAACACAAATTAAAATTCAACAAAATATAAAGACATTAAAGTTGGTCATTTTATCAGATACATACAATGTACCTATTACATATATTCACTACATATGTACATATGTTTATGTCATTAAAAAATAACATATTCATTTCATTGAAAAATGGCAAATTTATTTCATCAAAAAATGGCAAATTTATTTTATCAAAAAATGACAAGAGAACATAATAAATGTAAACATTTATCAAATGTGTATAGAATACATATATGTAAACATTCATCAAATGTATAATGAGTACATTTATTTTATAATCTGACTTCCATAATAAATAAAAGTTAAAGGACCTTGCAATAAATATTATTTACCACTTCAACAGCTTTTATCATGAACGGTAAATGATAGATCATCCTATTCTCCCTGGATATTTGTTGAACGTGCTGAGTTTCGTCTGCCATTCTGACTCTACGATGTTTTCCTCTTCCGTCACCCAGCTTGAAAGATTTCACCTCTACCTTCTCGTTTAAGATCAATTCTTTCCACTCCCCTAATCTTCGCTCATCAAGCACATCGACCCTAATAACAACCAGTATTATTAATAACATCAACCTCAGAAATTTTTAGCAAGGTTTATTCGATGAGTAAGAGTAATTCATTTTTGTGAATGAAACTTTGGGAAATTTTGGAAAATTGAAACTGCAATTGTAGAATAAAAATTTTGAGTAATATAAAAATATTTTAGAACAAGTTTTAAGGACACTTTTATTGGAGATCATATATGAAGAGTAAGAGTAATTTCTTATAAATGTAATTTTGGAAAAATTAAAATATTATTGAATAAAACTTTTAAATGATGTTCTTAAAATATTTAGAAACATAGATGTTTAAGAATATTTGTATTTTAGAATTTTATTTGAAATAATATTTTGAGATAAATTTTGAGGGAAGTTAAAATATTTGATGAGTTAGAATAATTTATTTTTGTGAATGAAACTTTGGGAAATTTTGTGAAAATTGAAACAAGAATTGTAGAATAAAAATTTCGAATGATATAAAAATAATTTGGAACAATTTTTCAAAGACACTTTCATTTGAGATCAAACTTAACATCACTGTGTTTTAAAATTCCCCCCAAAAAATTATTTAAAATTCTAAAAAATTGAAGTCTTTCAGTCACTCTTAAGTAAAATCAAAAATTCAAAGATTCTATGTTTTCAAATCCCCAAAATCTCAAAATTACAAGCTTCAAAATTTTCAAGGTTTCAAAATCCAAAACTGTAGTAATTAAAAAGTTCCAAACTCACACTGACAATGAAGTATTAAAAGCAACATTACACACCAATATTACAGCACCTATTACACACCCTTCATTCACAAAATCCCAACTCCACTTCCACTCTATCCACAATCACTATTACAGTATTTCACCATAATTTACAAAATCGATTTGAATAATCAAATTGAATTCATTAGAATAATTGAATTGAATTCATTAGAATAACTAATGAAATTAATTAGAATAACTAATGAAAGGTAACGATTACTATCAACGTACCGATAGTCACAATAGCAGACCAGCAAATCGTGGAGTTCCACACCGCGTCGTGGAACAAGTTAAACTGGAACGCGAAGCGTGACACACTAGGTGTAGTACGTATGTAACGTGCAAGTTGCGCAGACAAACCGACATTGGCCACCGCATGTCGCAGCCATTTTTTCTTTCAGTTAGATGCTCATCATCGCTCGTTAACGGCGTTATCTTACTTTCCCGCTCATCCGATTAATTCACCGAGTTTTGTTCATTTTGCATTCCGATCGAGATTGCGTAACCGCTGCGGAGACCTTCAATCGATGCTACTACTGGTATTAATAGTATGAATGAAACTTCAATGCTGGGTGTTTGTTGTAGGTATACTAGAGAAGTAGACTGAACATGATCAATTAACTGTTTCACCTTTCATTTTTTTGGAGATTTTAGTTTTGTGTATTTGGGGATGTAGGAAGTTAGGAATGTGGGAATTTGGAGAGTTGGGGATTTAAATAGGTGGGAAGTTAGAGAGTTGGGGATTTAGAGAGTTGGGAACTTAGAGAGTTGGGAATTTAGAGGGTTGGGAATTTAGAGAGTTGGGAAATTAGAGAGCTTGAAATTTAGAGAGTTGGGAATTTACAGAGTTGGGAATTTGGAGAGTTGGGAACTTAGAGAGTTGGGAATTTAGAGAGTTGGGAAATTAGAGAGGTTGAAATTTAGAGAGTTGGGAAATTAGAGAGCTTGAAATTTAGAGAGTTGGGAATTTGGAGAGTTGGGAATTTAGGGAGTTGGGAATTTAGAGAGTTGGGAAATTAGAAAGTTGGGAATTTATCTAGTTGGGAATTTGGGAACACGAAAATTTAGGAATTCAATAATTCAAAGACCCAAGAATTAAAAATTTGAGAGTTGAGATCCTTCAAAAATCCATAAATATGAAAATTTATTTATTCAAATATTTAAAAATTTGTAAAGTCAGTAATCTATAAATTTTAAAAATGTGAAGGTTCAAGTCTAAAAATAAGTCTAAACCAAGAAAAATTGAAATATCACCTCGAAAATTGCAATATCACCTCATCTAACATTTACAATTTTAATGTACGTCCATTTTCACATACACCTACTGTACATTTCATGACAATACGTGTTTATATTGCACGCATTTTCCCAGTATCGTTTCCCACTGATACACCATAATGACTGGCTTGGACAGTCGCTGATAAACATACCTGATTGTTAACAGGAGTTTGTATCGGGGACACTGTATTTTACCAAACATTCTATACAATACTCTCTAAAAATACATCGAATGAAGAAGTACAATACTAGGAATATCGTGTTCGATAAATCACCTGGAAAAATATTCTCATAGAAGCTCATTGTAAAAATTTATATTCATGTAACTAATCACCATGTTCATAATTACACAATTAACTTGTTCACGATACATATTCACAATTTATATTTATGTAACAAATAATCATATATATTTGTATTCACAATTTGTATATAGGAAGTTGTTACATAGCTGTTTAAGCTCTCTAAGCTCCCAACTCTCTAAATTTCAAGCTCTCCAAATTCCCAACTCTATAAATTTCAAGCTCTCTAATTTCCCAACTCTCTAAATTCCCAACTCCCCAAATTCCCCACTCTCTAAATTCCCAACTCTCTAAGTTCCCAACTCTCCAAATTCCCAACTCTCTAAATTCCCAACTCTCTAAGTTCCCAACTCTCCAAATTCCCAACTCTCTAAATTCCCAACTCTCTAAGTTCCCAACTCTCCAAATTCCCAACTCTCTAAATTCCCAACTCTCTAAGTTCCCAACTCTCCAAATTCCCAACTCTCTAAATTCCCAACTCTCTAAGTTCCCAACTCTCCAAATTCCCAACTCTCTAAATTCCCAACTCCCCAAATTCCCAACTCTCTAAATTCCCAACTCCCCAAATTCCCAACTCTCTAAATTCCCAACTCCCCAAATTCCCAACTCTCTAAATTCCCAACTCCCCAAATTCCCAACTCTCTAAATTCCCAACTCCCCAAATTCCCAACTCTCTAAATTCCCAACTCCGTAAGTCCCCAACTCTCTAAATTCCCAACTCTCTAAGTTCCCAACTCTCCAAATTCCCAACTCTCTAAATTCCCAACTCTCTAAGTTCCCAACTCTGTAAATTCCCAACCCTCTAAATTCCCAACCCTCTAAATTCCCAACTCTCTAAATTTCAAGCTCTCTAATTTCCCAACTCTCTAAATTCCCAACTCCCCAAATTCCCAACTCTCTAAATTCCCATCTGTTTAAATCTCCAACTCCTTAAATTCTCAACTCTCCAAATCCCTATGTTACATTCCTAACTTTCTACATCCCTAAATATACAAAACTCAAATCCCCAAACTTCCAAATTCCTAAATTCTCCCTTACCAAATCCCAAAATCCCAAATTTCTAAATTCTCAACTCCTTCATCCCCAAATTCTCACCTCCTCCACCCCAAAATCCCCAAATCCCCACCCTTTTCCCAAAGATTCAAAAATTTTCCGCGCAAAAGAAAAAACAGTTCCCCATTTAACCTTAGTTAAGGGCAATCTACACGGCATCCAACCGCATTATTCAGATGTAATCAGAGTTCGGCGACGAAGGGCGAGGTGACTGCAGTATTTAATTCGCGAGCACGTGTTGTGGGTGGTGCGTCACGAAAGCAGGCATCGGACCGTGTTCGACTTCACGTGATTCACACGCTGTATAATTTACACGTAGCTATTGCGGATACGTGCACGTGCAAAAAGCTTCGGGAGCACGTAGGGCGGCCGCCATTTCAGTACGTATGCACGAATGTTCGGGTCCCCTTGAATCGTGTTACCATTGAGCAACATTGCGAAACGATTCCTCTATCGTTCCTTTTTCCTTCATTTTGTGCGACGTATCGACTTTCATACGCAACATGTACGTTTTTCTTGAATAAACGGAAGCTTCGTGAATGTGCTGTGACTCATATCATTCTTTGAGTATACGTGTGTGTATTCGAAGAATTGTGTGTGGTTGATTATAGGAATACCTGCATTTAGATGCGTAATGAAATTTGTTGTCGAGTATCGGTGTATGATGTGAGGTTTTAGATACATCACATATGTGATTAGTAAGGATGGTCACATAGTATGGACATATACAAGTGATTATGAATTTATAGTACATGTGTGTTTGGATGTATTAGTATGTCTGTTTGAATGTATACTAAGATATGTTGTCAAGTATCACCATGTGATGTCAGGATATAGATACACATATCACATATGTGGCTAGTAGGGATACTCAACATACTATGGACATGTGAAAATGATTATGAATTTATAGTACATGTGTATTTGAATGTATTAGTATGTCTGTTTGAATGTATAGTAAAATATGTTGTCAAGTATTACCATATGATGTCAAGTTCTAGATACACATATCACATATGTGGCTAGTAGGGACACTTAACATACTATGGACATGTGAAAATGATTATGAATTTATAGTACATGTGTGTTTGGGTATATATGTATGTCTGTTTGAATGTATATTAAGATATGTTGTCAAGTATCGCCATGTGACGTCAGGATCTAGATACACATATCACATATGTGACTAGTGAGGACACTTAACATACTATGGACATGTGAAAGTGGTTATGATTTTTAGAATATGTGTATTTGGATACACTAGTATATGTATTTAAATGAATACTAAAATATGTTATCAAGTACCATTATATGATGTCAGGTTTTAGGTAAACATATCACATATGTGACTAATACAGATACTTAACATACAATGAACATATGAAAGTAATTATGATTTTTATAATATGTGTATCTTGATACATTAGTATGTGTATTTAAATGAATACTAAAATATGTTATCAAGTATCATATGATGTTAGGTTTTAAACACACGTATCACATATGTGACCAGCAGATATACTCAACATACTATGCACATATACAACTGATTACGAATTTACGTGTGTATAATTTATACATGTAATTGGATATATTAGTACGTCTATTAAAATACATTCTAAAATGTGTTATCGAGTATCACCACATATACACATATCACATATGTTCTTCTAATAGATACATCACATATGTGGATAGTTAACATGTCCATAATACCACGGTCACTTAAAAGTAAACTTCATAAGTTCACTGCACAATAATCGACGTGTATCTGTACTAGAAACTTAGGCTCAGACCATGACACGATAAAAGCGCAGTGAAATAAATATTAACAAAGATAATTTTCCATGTTATAAATATGGAATGAGTGCAAGTCGTGATCCCGAGTTATTTTCTTATATCCAACATCGACCATGAATTTCTAATTATAGTACAGGCTTTATCGATGAGAAACCACTAATATTTCATGCTAATTTCTACTGATACATTCCAACATGTGTGTACATGTGTACAAGTACGTTAAATAACAGTAGATAGAAGTACATTAAATAGTAACTGTAAATATAAATAAATTATTACAAAATGCATCATGTAACTAAAGTGTGTTTCATGCACCACAATGTAAATAAAATTTATAAAGAAAATTTGTTAATTTTGCAAAAAAAAAAATATGAAATAAAATATACAAGATTTTGAAAATGTTATAAAAAAAATACAAGTACATTAAATAACAAAATTACACATAAACAAATTATTACAAACTACCATATGTAACCAAACTATGTTTCACACACCACAATATAAATAAAACCCACTAAAAAAAAATTTGTAAATTTTACAAAAAAAAAAAAAAAATGTTAAGTAAAATAAAAATTTAAAAAATGTTAGAAAGAAAATATGATTCCAAAAAAGAATTTATATCAGAAGAAACAGGAATGAGTAATTGTATAACTGAGGTATTGGATTGTGAAGGATCCAAATAACTCGTATTAGCAACAGATTATGTGTTTCTAATTGCGTAATAGAGTTAATGCGTTGTTACTTTTATTACAGGAGTGTTATCGGGTATAGTACATGCACATGCACATTGTACCGTGCATAGTCGGTTGCACAGGTGTGAATAATCACCACAACGATGATCGGAGTCGTACAAACATGTCTACGGACGAGATCACGTGTTCAGTAGGTCAGTAGGTGTGGCTTGGTCTTCGTTCGCAATCATTATGCCTTCTTCCTGTCGATCTTGAACCACGTGCAATGATTTCCGTGTTTGAATGCTTTGTTATTGATACTTTGAGTGGGTATTTTTAGAAGCTGGAGATTTTTGTTTGGTTTTGGGGAGATTGGGAAGATTGCTTCCGAGGTTGAGGAATTTGAGGACATTTTAGGGAAGTGGGATTTTCTAAATTTTATTTTTGAGATTGAAAGGTGGTAATTTTGGTTACTTCTGAATTTCTACATTTCCAAATTTCTAAATTCTCAAACTTCTAAATTTGCAAATTTCTAATTTTCCAAATCTCT